GCCACTTACCGCAGCATCAACTGCAGGAGAATTATCACCAACCACCAGCAGAGAAGGGCACCTAGAAGATAACACTTTAAATTGTTATCACAAAACTGGGCATCCAGGGAATTGCAAATGGTCCTAAAAAAAAGGTACCAAGTGACTGCTGTCCCCTGATCTGACCGATCATATGGACAGCAACAGATGCAACCAGTTATTCTGGTAAAGGGAAAAGGTCAATGCATTTTAATGGAACGTTCATATCTAAATGATTTGTTAGTTGGATTATACCACTACCGAATATCTAAAGATTAACCCTGTTAATGTTTGAGATCAGTCACAAAAGTGTGAAAAGTTTGAAGACAGGAGAAGGGAACAATCTAGGACAACATAGCTAAACTGGAAAGTGAGCAGAATTGGAAAATTGTTCCAGATCAGCTATGTTGTCCTAGATTGTTCACTTCTCCTACCTTCTCCAAACTCTTCACTCTTTTGCAAATAACCCTGCAAGATTTTTTTTTAATTTAGCAAAGAAAAGTCTTCATACTACCACATTGTCAAGCTTTCAAACCTGCAATTTACAACAAAGCCTGTGTGTGTTGACTACTTTACAACACACAGGGACCATGGGGAACAAACGTAGCCACCCTCCAGAAGGAATGACAGTGTCAGCACCAATTCAGAGATGATTTGAGGATCTACAGCAGAGTGGTGCACAACATTTGACGGGACTGCATCCTATTGTGAAACATGGCCTCAGCAGTACTCTATGTGCATACGGTAATGTATCCATATTAGAAAACACAGCTATCATTGGGCTGGAGCGCAGTGCTGGCTGGGGAACCTGCGCTTCTTAGGCATTTATCATCATTTGTATTTAGTATGATTAGGTAGCTGGGCTTCTGAGATCTTCCATCTCTGCACTGGGTAAAAGGCAAGCAAGTGCAAGCTAAAGTGACAGGAGTTAACTCTTAAAAATGCATTCAAGTACCCGAATTAACAAAAATGTATCTTATTTGTGTATCACTCGGCTGTAGATCCTCAAATCCTCTCTGAATTGGTGCCGACACTGTCCTTCCTTCTGGAGGGTGGCTACTTTTGTTCTCCATGGTCCCAACCTGTGTTGTAAAGTAGTCACCACTCCAAGCTCACACAGGGACCATGGGGAATAAATGTAGCCACGCTCCAGTAGGACAGTTTCAGCGCCAATTCAGAGATGATTTGATGATCTACAGCCGAGTGATAACATAAATGTATCTTATTTGTGTAATAGTTGAGGTGCTTGAATGTATTTTTAAAGATATTTAAGTATCACTAACTTTCTACATAGTTGGTGCCTCTTAAAGATATAAAAATGTCTCTCATAGGAAAGCATTGGCAATCTTGAAAAGCTTCTAACCCATGACAGAGGCAGCAAATCATAGTAAATACACAAAAGGAAATAGTATATACAATAGTATAGACAAAAGGAATAGTATACACAAAAGGAAACCAGACATGCAAATTTGCAAAAAACAAGGTTGCAAAATTAAAAAAAATGATCCTTACCGGAGTGTTCCCACAGAATTATTGGCCGCAAGAAGCGGTCTTTCTATGTCCAGATCTTTGCGGCTATTTAAAAAGGAGGGGAAAAAAAAAAGAAGTTCTTTACATGACAATAAAGTAAAGATACAATGCTTTACATAACAAGGATGGTCCTCAGAAGCAAAATACAAAATGTGCTACTTGAAAAGCTCACACTTGCAGAAAAAGGTAAAGAACGATTAAAGCCAAATCCCTGCAACATCACCCCCACTGACCCCCTCTATTTTTTTTTCTGTATACATAATGTCTTCACAAATGTTCTGGACTGTCCAATGACATGCTGGGTTCCCTTCCCCTCTTTTCAGCTGCTGCACAACACTCGGGTCTAAAGAGAGGAGCCGATCTAATGTCAATGCTTCCTACAGCACTGTATAGTGAATGAAGGGCAATGTGGTGATGTTCCTGCAGGGGGTGTGTCCATGACAGCCTGGGTTTAAAGGAAATTAGCTTGATGCTGGGTGTCAATTCAATCCAGAAGCAGACTAGCTGTGGACTTGAAAGAAAAGATATATGCCTTTCAAAAAGCGACTCGCTCTGGACTCTGTACGTGTTCAGGGACAATGCTAGAGAGCAAGCAAATCCTGCAGCCAGGAGATGCATTTTTATTTATTTAAAAAAATAGCTGGGATATTGAAAAATACTGCAATTGGGCTTTAAAAATTTAATTCGGCATAATTACCTATTATAGGAATTTACGAAAAGGCAAAGGTTTTCTTGGTTGATGTCTTGAGCAATATGTAATCTGTAGGTCTGAATCAGATCCAGATTTGACTGAAGTTCATCCTGTAAGAAACAGAAAGGAAGTTACAAAAAAAAAAAAAAAACACAAAAACTTTATTATTTTTAATAAAGACAAAACGATAAATAAAGTCAGTTATTATGGTTAAGTCAAAGTGCAAAAGAATTGCGAATTGTAATATTTTACAATTTAGTTGTTGGGGGTCACTGTAGCTACGCTAAATGTACCAGTATAAATATCACTTACATAGCCGAAAAGGTGAGCCAAAACAGTGTCCACGATATTGGATGTCCATCCAGAAACCTGTAACAGAGGGATGCACGATTGTCTGCACTGGTAAGCCATTTCACAGTTTACATATATATTTGTTTAGAATGTGGAAAATGGCAAAACTAACGACACCCAGCTCGTAAAATTAGAACATGTACCGTATTTGCCGGCGTATAAGACGACCCCCTACTTTTTGCGTTAAAATATAGGTTTTGGGCTATACTCTTCTTATAAGACGAGTATAGCCCAAAATAATGTTTAAATGCACCCACTAACATCCATGGCGGTATTCCCGAGTGTGGCTCGGGGTTCATTTTCAGTACCATTAACGGTAACCCCGAGCCACACTCGGGATTACAGTCTCTTACCTTGTCCACGATCCCCGCTGTGTCCTCAGTCTTCCGCTGAGTCAATCACAGCAGGCTTTGTATTAATGAATACAGGCTTTGTATTCATTAATACAAAGCCTGCGGTGATTGGCTCAGCGCGGTATACTGTATGTAGCCATATCCTTCCGTATGTACGTGGCGTATAAGACGACCCCCGATTTTCGGGGGATGTTTTAAGGTCTCAAAACCAGTCTTATAGGCCGGCAAATACGGTAGATTAACCACTTGCTGACCGGGGTGTTACACCCCCCTTCCTATCCAGGCCATTTTTCAGTATTCAGCGCAGCAGTACTTTGACATTTATTCCGTCATGCAACGTTGTACAGAAATTAATTTTATACCATTTTTTGGGGACACATAGAACTTTCTTTTGGAGGTATTTAATCACTGGGGTTTTTACTATACAATGAAAAAAAAAATGTAAATTTTTTTTCCAAAACACACCTGTTTTGTTAAAAAAATTTTTTATTTTTACCCATATTTTTGGTAAAATATAAAAGACGAGGATCGCTTATATGTAAACAGGCACCGCTGGCTGTTTTTAAATTATGACAGTTTCTGGCCTGCGTGGGTGGGCGGGGATAACACCCACACATCTCCCGGCAAATTACAATGGCAAGACGGGAGGCGGTAACATTTACGGCCGAAGAATTTGTAATTCTGTTCAGCCTTTGACACACACGACAAAATTCTATACCTTAGAAGCTGCCCAGTCAATCCATCCCTTGGCAGAGGGGTCGATGTTGAGGAGCACAAGGCCCTCCACCAGTTCAGGGTGGTCAAGCTGCATTGGGGAAAAGAGAGGTTTTGTGAAATATTAGGTAAAAATAATTTAAAGACCCGTCAACTGTCTGAAGTCCACGATAGAATTATATTATGCACTAGAACTCAACCCCTGCTCTTTGTGGACTAGTATGGACAGGCCATCATTTGGTCATAGTAGTCCACAAAGCAGGGCTTTGGTTTAAGTTTCGTGAAATTTCCGAGCAAAGGGAAAAAAAAAAAAAGCAGAACAGCTGCAAAGAACACAGGAACGGGCACGTCAAAAATAATCTGAAATTTAAATCTAGGTTCACCCCAAGATTCTGTACAAGTGATACAGCCTTAGTAAAACTTGCCTTTGGGGAAATTAGGTGACCATACACAGATACAGCTGCAAGATGGCCCACTGGTAGACTGCCAAACCTAAAGTAAATTAAATAAAATGGAAGGTCCCCTCATGGACCCATGTGGAGCACTGGATTATTAATTCATTTGAAAACCCCTTGAGGTCTATGAACACCTACCATTTGTTTTTACCTACAAAAAAGCCTAGTCTATGGAGACCTATTCTTTGACATTCCCTTAGGGTTCGTTTCCCAGTGCACAATCAGGATCTTGCAGTGTGGTCACAAACATGAACACGGGAAGGGTGAATGGAGAAGAGCATCGCAGTAAGTCGTTGCTGGCTTTGCTTATGCAATCAATGTCCTCTACCCCAAACAGAAGCCAAAGTTAGTCAGTGACCCCAGAAGTATTAACGCCACAGACAGCCAAACTAGCAATTTTAGGGGTGTCTGCGACGGCAGCCTTCAAATGTCCCATGACAATTTGACTGTAGAGCCAAACTCCAGCTGTATAGACCAGGGAAACTCCAGCTTTTTTTGTATAGACCAGGGAAGCAGAATAGCCTCCATTTTATGGGCATTTCTGTACCTATTGGGGGAAGCAAGCTCAAATCTCCCCATCAGGAGAGGAAGTGGTGGGAAAAGTAGTCAATGGAGACACAAAAATCTTTGGTAGTTCGAATGGGCTAAAATTTGACAAATTTTCATTGCCATCTCCACCTTCCATCCATCCCGTTTTTGGGATTCTTTTGTAATGCAGGCTGTCTTATGCATATGCAGTACTGTTGTCACCCTAAAAACAAGCTACCACTGGGGTTTTATGATGTGGAAAAAAAACAAAAAAACAAAACACCCACCAACACCACAGGTTGGAGTTTAAAAAAATTAATATATTTTAAACTGGTCATTTTAGAGTGCAGGTGTGGATTTCAGATGGGCATGGCATATTTTCCAACATGGAAACAGAAGTCGATCTTTTTTCTATGGGATTCTCTTTTTGGGAAAAACACTTTTCTGAAGATACTTACTGCAAATTTGGACAACACATAGGCACCGGCTCCAACCCCAATTCCTATGACAGACTTTAGGCTGAAACACAAAAGGAAAATGCATGTTCGAATCTCTGGTCCAGGTTAGAAGCAGGAAAACTAAACCCAATAACGAGGTTCTGCTGTATTTAGAGAGTTTCCAAACCTAGAAAACAAACATTTGGGGTACAAAAAACTAAAAGCAAATGACAATGTGCACATGCAGTTGCCCTCAGCAACCAATCAGAATTAACCTTTCACAAATCTGACTCCAGTAAACTACAACATAATTGGTTTAGATAACTTCTACCCCACTCCTAATAACCATATTCATCTAGAACTTTGTAAACCTACTTATTGAAGATGCCCATAGGATGGACTTCCTCAATGCATGGACACCATTTCAATCAGCCCTGTGAATATGCACTTCCTGGTGTCACCACTCACAGAGCTTGGCTACTGAACTACAACAACTTGTCTGAACAATGTAACGTTGCTTGCTGGAAGCAATGCATGATGGGATATGTAGTCTTGAGAAATGGAGAATGCATCATATCAAGCAGCAAGGAAAGAAGGTACATTTCCTTGAAGTTGATGAAAGTGATGGGCAAACAGAAGGCAGCACTCAATACATAAAAGGGATTTTTTCCAGTAAGCTTTGATTGCATTATCAGAAACAACTCTACTATGTATTCCTATTACAATGCTGATGTTATAACAGGAGAGGATATGCTGGGACTTTACAACTCCTTTAAAAAAGGCACACTGGCCTGAACAGTACATATAATAAGGGTGCCCCATATGGCAATTGCCCAAAAATTGCTTCAGAGTGGAAAGAATGCTGCCCAAGGAAAGGCCAGTAGACGTGGGTATTGGCGAGACATTTGAGATGTGGTTGCTATGTCATTTCATAGACTTCTATGGAGAATTTAAGAGATCAGCACAAAGTTCTGACTGGCTAAGGCCAAACTCCAGGAAAACAGCTGAATACAAAAAGATGAAAAACAAAGTCAGAATCTTGCAATGCCTCATGGGATTTCTAGTTTCACCACAGCTGGAGGGCCAGAGTTTGGCTACCCCCTGGCTTAAAGTAATACAATGGTCCCCTCTCCACCCTCAGCCTGCTGATTTGAACGTGAAGGAAGAGTAGGGCACTGTTGGTGTCATCCCCTTGGCTCACTCATTGGGTGGCTTCAATTTTAAAAAGGCCATGTAATCAGGCGGTAGGGTGTGCAGCGCAAAATGAAGACTACTTTACCACATTATGTAATCTGGCAACATACTTCACACAAAGCATGAAAAGTGCACCATGTGTGCCAAGCCTTTTCACCCTGGTTCAGCCAGGTCTGCTCCAATCTTGGCAAAACCGAGCTAATTATGAATGTGTGTCAGTCATTTGAACAATCTGTATATAACACAATAGAACATTGGTGAAAATCAAGAGCCTTCTGAAACCGTTACAGTCAGTGCAGACTTGTCACCAATGCTGGCCGTCAACACACACAAACTTCAATTATAATGACTGAATGAATGCAGCCCAACACTACCTGCTATATAGAAGTGTACAGGAAGTGCTTGAAACTGCTAGAAAATGGTCATGTACATGGCTGGCACAATTCTCACTTTGTACGTCTTACCTTAGGTGTGTGAGGACAGCAGTTATCATCTCGGCCAGCTCATCCATGGTCGGATACTGGTAGCTGGAATAAACATGAAACTATAAGAGCAAGTTTAACAACTACGTGCATCAATATTAAATAGTGACTTGCCGGACGAGGCATCCTCCAGCCTGCCGAAGCTCCGGCCCAGTCCTGCCGAAGCCCCGCCCCCCAGCTCGGTATCCAAGCTTTGTGGGGAGGAGGAAGGGAGCAGACAGGGAGGAGCCTCCCTGTTCCTCACTTGCGCATCACTGGTGAAGCATCAAGATCGATGTCCTCACTGGGTTTTTTTTTTCTTTTTTTGGACAGCTTGGACCAATGGCGCTTTGCCATTGGTCCAAGCTATCCACAGCTTACGCCTCTAACACAGAGCAGAGGCTGTGACAGCTCTTGCCTCACCAAGTTAAATTACACAAGCAGTGGAGAAGCCCGCTGCTGTGTAACCCAACTACCTGTCAAAACCCGGATGCAGCGCTGCCTGTAATTAACAGGCAGAGCTCCGTCTGACAGGCTACACAGCGGGGAGGCTTTCCCTGCTGTGTAAACTAACAAGCAGCTCTGAAATGGAGAAAAAGCCATCAGCTTCAGACTGCCTCCCCTAACCACACGTTCCTTGCTATGTACCTAAATGGAGGGGGGGGTAAAAATTGCCTGTCCACTACGATGGGGGGTGGGGGGGCTAAAAGAGAAAGGCGTCTCCAGGTAACCAATAACATGAAAACCTTACACCTAGAGAAACTGACACTTATTGAGATGTACAAATGTGAACAGGATACATGTAAATCTTTTAAAATATGCAACTTAGAGGCATGACATTGCTAGCAGGATTTTAGAATACCCCTACAAGAACTTCTACCGTTTAAAGGGAAGCTACTAAAATCTAGCTAAAAAATAAATAAAAAAAAAAACCAAACAAAGCACACCTCCAATTTCCCTTTATAAGGAACCCAGTCTGAAAAGGTTAGGTGCACCACCACAGTGATAATCCTGCGGCTTCAATAACTTCATCCACTGACCTGGAACAAATCTGCTGCCAGGATTTCTGACCTCACCGTTTGCCTGATCTAGGTCAGCAATTTTACTGACCCAAGTCAGAGAGTCCGTAATCCAGGCCAGCAGCCCCCAGATTTCTTCTTATAGGAGCACTAATCCCTACGGACATTCTGACTGCACAGCCGGAGAATTCAGAGAAAGTCGTCATACACACCCAGATGGAAATGAAGGCGCTCCCATCTGCTGTCCAGGGGCATCCACATGGCAGACGGCAAAATGCTGAGTGATTTCGTGCATGTCTTCATAGTTAAAAAACGTGTTGAAGCAAGATTTGTCTAGGATAGAAAGACAAAAATAGGACTTTGTTATATTCTACAGTAAAAAGGTCACCAAAAGCACACCTGTGTCTCTGCACCAACCAAATGACTGATCATTGTGATCGGCAGCATGAAGATAACAAATATAAAAATCGGAAGATAATTTCTCAACTGGCCGTGATCATTGGCTAGGTGGCCAGTGTTCATGAATCACATCTTTGCCGTTACTTCTGCTGTCCCGGTTATTATACAGTGAGGAAATTTGATCCCCTGCAGACTTTGTAAGTTTGCCCACTTACAAAGAAATGAAAGGTCTAGAATTTTTTTTATCATAGGTGTATTTTAAATGATAAAGTCCGAAAAAAAACACATGATACAAATGTTATAATTGAATTGCAGTTGAGTAAAGTATTTGATCCCCTACCAACAATAATTCTGGCTCCTCCCACGGACTGGCCATGTGGTACACAGTTTAGTCCTGTAACTTTAAGGTGCTCCTAACGACAACTCGTTATGTATATAAAAAAGACACCTGTCCACAGAATCCCTTTCTTCCATTCAAACCTCACCACCATGGGCAAGACCAAAGAGCTGTCAGAGCAGGTTCACACCATTTCCCAGACCAGATCTGGCCTAGAAAATGGTGTGAACCTGCCGCATTTTTCTGGTCTGGATTGGACTGCGCTGCTGTGAACAGAGGCCAGAAATAGCATTGGGATACATTAAGATGCATTTTGGGTCCGGAAACAATCTGGTCTGGTGATGATCTGGATGTGGTGCGAATGGTCCCTTAAAAAGGACGTTAGGGACAAGATTGTAGACCTGCACAAGGCTGGAATGGGCTACAAGACTATCAGCAAGAAGCTTTGTGAGAAGGACACAACTGTTGGAGGATTATTAGAGGACTGCAGGCTGCCAGCCCTCTAATGTAAAACCGCACATTTTTCTAAGCTGGAAACACCTTTAGGAGTCTAGTTGTGATCTTGAAGGAATCACTTCACAATACAAGCAGCTCGAGTGCTCCGGCATGACTGCTTTTTGCCCCTTTCAACTGGCCTTCTGTTAACTGTAAAAGAAATCTACATGTTGGAGGTGTTTCATGGGCATCCTGATATGCGGCCACTGTTAGTCTGTCCTACCGGCCACCAATCATTACTATGAGTAGGAGCAGTCAGTGCTGCCCCCAGAGGTGGGAAGGGGGTTAAGAATATATGTCATCATCTTAACATGCAGTCTCAGCACAGGTGCACTTTAAGACCTTAAAGGAGCATCGTCACCCAAGAGCCATTTTGCTATTTAGGGAAAGGTTTTTTTTTTTACATGACGCCTCCTAACCAAGATACCTCTGCACTGTTTTGATTACCAATTTAAGCCCTGCTGCCTGCTTAGTGATACTGTGTAATGACTGAACTTTATAGTTCCTATTCATGTCTAAATTTTATATAGCCCTTTACCAAACCCTTAAAAACCAAGAAAATTAGCATCTTACGGTTCAGGCCAATGTCATGGTACGTCAGGATCACTGGTCTATTTCCTTTTTGGACACCACGCATAGTGACATGCAACATGCCATGAGCAGTCTCAATATCATGTTCCTAGGGGGGAAAAAAATAAAAATAAAGTTGTAAATGTAATAAAAACAGACATCAAGCAAGCAAAAGAGGGTACCGCTTAACATTTATCTGACCAATACAAAGATCTATTTCCTGATAAATTGGGCAATTCTACAACATGTAAAATACAAGCCTAATTAGTGCCCTCTACACCCCTGAAGACCAAGCTGTTGCCAATGGGTGCTTACTGTGTGGCCCCAACCGTCAGTACAGATAGTGGGACCAGCAACATGTAAAAGGCAGTAATCTCTAGCAGTCTCATGCAACTCTTAGCTATATCCCTCAGCATGCCCTCAGTCACCAGCCACTCCTGTGGCACGGTCTCTAGTCTCTGGCTATCTCCTTTAGCATTGTCTAGTCTTTGGCCATCTCCTGTGGTATGCCCCTAGTCTCCTGTAGTGTATCCAGTAGTAGGGAAGCAGCAGGCTGTCTCACTGGCTGTCTATCAAGCAGCAGGCTCATGGATGACCAGCCTCATTACAGAATGGCAAAATGTCCCATCAACATACACCACACAATTAAGCTCTACCTGCTTTACGCAGAGCCAAATTAAGGAATGCGGTTTTCTTAGAACCATCAAGAACATTTATTCACAGCTTACCCTTTGCCCTCTGCTAGAAAACAAAAAAAATTTACACATGCTTTAATGTTTAATCTCCACCCATAAACATTTAAATTTCCAGGTCTAACAAGGCATTTATGTGATATTGTTTGTGTAATGTTGCAGTAAGGCACAAACACCCAATATTAGTACAAGTTAAAAAGAAAACGGAAGAATAAATTGCAAATAGCCATTTCCATATAGTTTGTCCAGACCCTGCCACACAGAAGGCTGGTGGACTTCCGTTCAATAAAACCCGCCATATTGAGGAGGACTTACCGAAGGCTTCAATGACAGATACAAGTGATCAATATCCAAGTAAGCCATTGGAAACCAAGTACGTTACTTCTCCTGCTCGGCAGCACAGACACGTCAACAAAACATTTGTAGTACTGAAGTGGTGGGGGATTAGTTTCGAACTAATTGGATTTCAGCTTGTAATAAGGATGACGGGTCACAGGAAACTTGCCAGCGACACACGTACACACATTTCATAACCACCCCTCTAAATACTACGATGTAAACAAGTAATTAAATGCATGTAAAATGGACGTTCTGGTATTCCTTCCTCATTCATTATTGCTTTTAGAGTGCAAGTAAACTCAACATAGAAGTTTCAGTATGTTTGCCATCATGGCCCCCTGTATACAATTTTCTTAAGGTGGAAGAGGAGTCTCATTTAATTAAAAAAAAAAAAAAAAACCTAGCTCAGTTCTGGCAAGATTCTGCACCAAGATGAAAGTAACTGTGCACGTGTGCATCATCCTGGCCAATCAAGAGAGACTAAAAGGCAACACAGAAGACCAGGAGAAGATGGAAGCACCGCCGACTGAGGAGAGCACTGGCATCGCAGAGCTGAAGTGAGCCTGAAGGGGATCACATGCAAGGTAAGTCTGTCAATGTGCTAATATGCCGTGTACCTCCTGGGGGGCCCATGTTTTCACTTGGTTTTTAAATAGGATCAACTGGACAAGTTAACTAAGCTTCTGAACGCTTGGGGCAGATCCAGCTGCTCTTATTTCTACCCTCACCTATTGTATTTGGAAAGCGGAAGAGCATAGGAGAGGGAAAATGGTAGACAGATACCCAATTAATGGCCAGAAATCTATGGAAACTAGGCAAATTACATAAGCACATATACCATACTACTCAATATAAGTAGAACCGAAGATCCAGTCTCACCTGTCCGTCAAAGTCCTCAAAGTTCCGACCGGCATTCTGGCAGAGAAAGCAGAACATAATATAAGAAGAAGAAAGCCAACAAAAAAAACCCCTTCCAGAAGGTGTGCAACCTGCCTGGCTGTGCAGTGTGGTAGATGTGAAGCATTCACACGACTGGCTGAACAAAATGAAATCTTCAGCAGGAAAAAGGGTAAAACACATGTAGTAGGTTGTCCTGCCATTAACAGAGTGAGGTACAGTAGAAGAGGAACATGAAAAACAGCCCTTTTAAAGCAAACCTTTGCTTTGCCCAGTCAGGTTCGCTTTATTTGCCCACATTGTCAGCAGCATATACTTACCTTTCCTTTATTACCCCACTGCTTCAATCAGCTCTGGGAACCGAAGGAAATACCCAGTGCCTTTGGGAAAGAAAAGTTTGCCACTCACTTCATGTGACCCGAAGGTGAAACTGCAGCTTTGACCTGCATTAGCCAAGCAGAGGACAACCACACCTTTGGTACAAGTTGCCTCCTAATGAATCCATGCCACTTACTCTTGTGCAACCATCAACATTAATCCAGCAATCTTCATTGCGTGGCCCCGTTGGGAGCTTTACAAAACATCCTTGCCGGGTCCTCTTCGGCTTAAGCCTGCATGCTGTAGCCCCATCTATTCCTATAGTGAGCTGTATTCGTGGATGCCTCCAGAGGTCCTGCACAGTACAGCTTTGTCCACAGCGCACATTTACAAGCGGAGGAGGACCCTGCAAAGGATATTTTGTATTTTGTAAAGCAAGGCTGTAAGGTGAAGAATGCTGATCAAGGATAAAAAGGAGAGTATCGGACCAGGTGAACTCAACTCACTGAGGGGGAGGGGTAGACAGGGATCCCAACCTGAAGAAAGCAGTTTCAGGGGAGGTGCCCTTGCTATTGCAAAGTGAAATAGCCAATAGGAATCTAGCTATGCATTCCTATGCTGGGTTTTCTTTTTTTCTGACTGATGGTGGCCCCGATGTCAGAGGGAAAAAAAAAAAAGCAGGGAAAGGTTTACTCTGCTCGATTGAGCAGGGTAAACCTTTCCGGGAGAAAGGTTCTCTCTCGGGCGGCCGGGAGCCGCCATCTAATAGCGGGAGAATCTCGGAGCGTCCAGGAGAGTTGGGATGTCTGGGTAGACAGGGCT